GAGTCCAAGTTGACGTCGTTTAAAACAGACTTACCTAGAGTAGTGATCCACAGGTTGTGGGTGTGAGTAGCAATGACTGTGTCTGCGGGTGAGTGTGGGTCGGTTTGGCTGTGGATGAGTATAAGTCTGAGCCTCGGTGTTGTCGTGGGTAGGATGCAGGTTTTTGGGGGTGGGAGTAGAGTGGGGATGTGGTAGATGTCGGTATGGTTGGATATCAGTGTGGGTGGGTGTATTGTTAGGATGATTGTGTTTCTGATTTTAATGCACATACCCGCACGTCCACCCACCCATATTAACACTCACAGCCTAAGACTGAAGACTATTGGATAGAGTCACGAAATTTTTCAAAGTCCTCTTTCTGTTTTCATTGCCAAAAACCCGTTTTCAATGTATTCATGTGTACAGACTCTATGTTTGCGCAGAAAACGATTGAATGACACATACCGATAAAGACATCCAGTGTTAAACCGATCCATCACATTGATTATTCCGCCAATATGAAAACCACGAATAAATCCAGTTCGAACTGGTGCTCATAATCACTATCAGTGTTTCTTCATTTATCAAGATAAATATTAGCCTACTGATTGTATCAAAGTTAGAACCTAAGTTCAATTTAATAATGGCTGAAACATAATAAGTTAAATTTCAAAATTTAAATTTTAGTTTTCTTTATCGATGAGAATACCATGAAAACGCACAGAAGGCATTTCTTATTGGCAAAGGCCACCAATATAGATACATACGATTTCTTATGGGAACCTGAAAGTTGAGGAAGTCTTTCAATTGTGTGAAATTTCAAAGAGACTGAGTTAGTAAGATTTATTTGATTTACAAGTTAAAAATAACATTTAACATGCGGAAAATCTTTTCCTTTAGTTTCTGATGCAAACTGGAAACTCGAGAATAATGGAAAAGGTACACCATCAAGTGTTATTGTTAGATTCAAACTAACTGGACGTCTTAAATCAGAATTATCTGCTTGAACAGTCATTTTTGTAATACTTTTGGGTTCTTTTTCTGATTTCTCTGAGCACGTATTATTCCATCTGAAGACATCAGTGCTTGACCACCCTGTACAACTTATCTCTTGGCGTTCAACGGCGAAACATTCTTGCGTATCAGGATAGACTCCTGCTTGAAAACTTGTACCATTCGTATATGATACTGTGTAAAGTATTTCATGAGTGTCTTTAGTATATTCTTGCCGAATTCGATAACCAATTATTTTTTCTTGATCTTTAGCAGTGACAGCTTGTACAGCATAAACACCAGCTACAGAAGTCGTAACAGCAACACCGGTAAAAGTAAAATTATAAGTAAGACCAATTGGTGGTAACATATGCTTAGGAAATATGAAGTATGGTTCAGCATTGATTTCAATTACCATAAAAGTGGTGAACAAAAAAGCAAATATTGTTACTTTTATCATTTTTTTTCAAATAGTATGCTTTTAAGAAACTATTTGAAACTTTATCTCTTTTTAAGCACTATCATTTTGAATTGACTCATTTTATTTATCACCTGCGTTATTGGTATCTTTCTGACAGTGCAAAAAAAATATGCAACGTATTTAAAAGATTAGATGATGAATACAAGTTAAAAACAATTATCTGTAGTTTCTAGACATTTATATACAATGCAGGACCTTATAAATATGTTTCAAACACAATACATAAACTATTAAATCATTCAAGAAGTTAAAAGGATGTGGGTGTAAAACATTCATGTGTATTAGATAAGTACATTTGGACAAATATGAGATGTATACACTGTTATAGGTAATTCTGCATGATCTAAGTTTTCCCAAATATTATAAAACCAAACTAAAATATAATCTATGATAAATATCGAAGATTATTAGTTTTCAGATCTGTTTTAGTTGAGATAGCTATTCTATAGGTAAAGGAAATGCTAGCTGAAGATTGATGAAAATAAATTTAGAAAAATCTACATTTCAAAATAACTTTTAGTTTTTTGGTATATTTTTGAAATACTCCTTTTATTGTCAATAAATGAAATTTTAGATCGTTTCTATTGATTTCCATTTAAACATTCGTTCGAAAGTCATAAATTATTCAAATAGATTAATGTACAAGTAACGCGACGTTAGCGTCGCAGACCCTCTACTGAAAGGACTAGAATGCGTTAAAAACACAATTGCCTGACTACCTCCAGAGTTGTAGATTCCGTTCAGTTGTCTTTTTGATGTATAATCATTGATCAATGATCACAGTGTGACTTGAAGAAACGAGGTATTGTCATTTTCAACGGATAGCTGCGCTATAACCCTGTTTCTACTACAGCATAAAGAGCTATATTAAAATATAATTCACAAGCACCATTCATTAATATAAGACAGTAACTTTAACTCATACCCAGATGAGGCAGCTTGCTCATAACTCCGGGTGTGGGTACTATAGTCTGTCGAATGCAGAAATTTTGAACCTGACCGCATCCTACATAGAATACTCAATAATAAAACTTAATCAGAATTTAATACTTGAAGTCGCTCGGAGTATGAAGTGCTTTTGTCTAGCATAAAGAGCAATTAAAAGGAAAAATATCTACAGGTAATGATGAAAAAAATTTAGTTATTGAAAACAAAAGCAATTCTTTACCGTCCAAAACGATTAAAAGAAGAAAACAAATAGTGCAGTGATTATTCTTCGGATAATATCAATAGCCTCATTGATTACAGTAAAGAATCGGATGAAGCTTTATTTGAATTATAGATTCATGATGTTAGTCAGATTTATATATTATCATACAATGGGTTATTTAATTTCAATCTGAATTTTAACAAAAAAAAGAGCACTTGATTTCAAATTGAAATAGGGGACTAAGGGGACTAAGGGGACTAAGGGGACTAAGGAATTCTTGAATTCTCGAGTTTTATAATAGGTGTGGGTGTGGGTCATATGATGTCTTTTGAGAGTATCCCCGGAAACTCGATTAAGTCCTAGGGGTTGAAGGTAACTAGATATATAGGTATAGAGGTATAAGAGATATAGGAGGTACACTACTAACAACAATGTGACCACAAATAGTATTTTTGACGTAACTTTTGAAATGAACAAGCTATAGAGAAGCGGTTTTCATTAACGGAAAGAGGAAATTCAGACGCTTCGAATCAAACGTTAGACACTTTTCGAGATGGGATTCCTCAACTATTCAACTGAAATTTTTCGGAAACAACGTTTTTGATACTTTACTAGAAGAAGCTCTGAACTATATCATATTAATTCAAAGCAACAGTTTCTTATCCATAAGAAACTATGCAACACTGTGATTCTTGGCTTCAACTGTTCAGCAGCAATCAGTATTGTCCGCGAGACAAGGAACAGTTTTTTCTAGCAGCTTTCACGTGAAAAAAACTTATTACTAATATTATATATTTATGTGTGAATATTGATAGATTATTAACGTCCACATCCAAATACTCAAATTAGAGTTTTCTACTCTCAACATTAAACCCAAATGCTTTAAGGCGGAATCAAAACTGTCTAAACCCCACACACAAACCATTGCAGCAGTGGAACTCACGAGAACAAGACTCCCACCAACATCAATTAACACAAAGGTATAGGCACACAGCAATCACCAACCGTGTCGATGCAGCTAAACAAATTTCACTAAAAAGGACTCACGCAAACATCGCAAGTGTGGGTGCCACGAAAGGAGTTTCACCAAACACGACTTACACCAAAGAAGACTCACACACAAACATCACAAGTGTGGGTGCCACGAAAGGAGTTTCACGAAATGCGACTCACACAAAACGACACTCAGTCCCAATCGGTGCAGCTGATGGTGCGCCGAAGCGAGTTTCACAGAGTACAACTCATGTGAAGTCACACTGGCGCGCAAACGCCGCATGTGATGGTGCGACGAAGTGTGGTTAGCTAAGGGGGACTGGGACAGGCGTAACCAGGTGTAGTGGGTATAGGTTATGGTTCGGTACAGTGTTGGATTAGGTTTATGCTGTAACGTCAAGTTGAAGGTTCAGGTTAGAGGTTTGGCTTCAAGTGTATACCTTCGTTTAGTATTAGACGAAGTGTTCTCGTTGGTTGTGGAAAAAGGAGGATGAATCGTTTGTTATAAATATGTATTTGACAGCTGTAAGGGAGTGATATTGCCGTTG